GGAAATTCTTATTGCAATTGGTATTCATATGTTTTACTGTTTTATTTCAGGTATCTCATGACACAGTACAAGCTGATTGGCAACAAACATTTGTAGACACTTTTGGGACGTATCATCACTTTGAATGGGCAGTTGGAACTGGAGAAGGGAAATGTGATATTTTGGAGTTTGAAAATGTCGGTTTGAGTGGAAGAGTTCAAGTGAAAGGTCTAGATCTGAGTGGTTTGAACTCATGTTATATTACTCTAAGGGCTTGGAAAATGGATGGTCGGTGTACTGAGCTTTGTGTTAAAGCTCATGCTTTAAAGGGGCAACAGTGTGTACACTGCAGGCTTGTGGTTGGTGATGGCTTTGTCACCATCACCAGGGGCGAAAGCATTAGAAGGTTCTTTGAGCATGCTGAGGAGGCAGAGGAAGAAGAGGTAGTCAAGTTATGAAGCATGTGTCTTGAGTCTCTGTTTCTGACATAACATGAGAGCTCTTCAGTTCTTCTGAAGCTTGTTTTTTAAGTCTTTACTTCTAACATAATATGACAGTTGCCATCTTTTGAGTCGATTTTGTTTAGTGATTTAGAGTTATGTTCATCTGCAGGATGATGATTCCATGGACAAGGATGGAAATGAGCTAGATAGTGAATGCTCCCGTCCCCAGAAACATGCGAAGAGTCCTGAACTTGCTCGAGAGTTTCTCCTAGATGCTGCAACTGTAATCTTCAAGGAACAGGCATGTATTTGTTTGTTCTCTTTTTCAGCATTATTATTCTGTGGGTCAAGTCCTTAGTGCAAAATATAATTACCAATTTTTGTTGATTTTGTTTCCTTGTGGGGGGGGGGGGGTCAGTTATATATACACATTCAATTACCAGATCCCAATAGTTAATATGTTGATCATCTAGGAATCTGCATCCTAATGCATTATTGTTTGAGTACATTGGATGGCTAATTTATTATCTTTTTGTAACTTCTTTAATTGATTTGGTATCTAGGAGTTTTAATGGTAAAAAGAGTCCTGTAAGCTGTCTTAAGAATAAAAAATTGAGGTCAAGAAGATTTATCAGTTTTGAGGCTAAAGTTTTCCTCTCAGCTTTGTGATTGGATCATTAAAGTTGTATTCTAGAATCATTTGTTTTTCCTTTATAATCTTCTGATCATTCACCCTGGATTCTTTGACTGCTCATCATCCATCTTTGTTTCTGATATCCTCTGTCTTGGCTTTCGTGCATAAGTGCACGTTCAAGTTAATGAAATATAAAATGCTTACTCAAGATTCAATATCTGCAGGTTGAAAAGGCATTTAGGGAAGGAACAGCACGACAAAATGCTCATAGCATTTTTGTGTGTCTTGCTCTAAAGTTGTTAGAGGATCGCGTCCATGTTGCATGCAAGGAGATCATTACTCTAGAAAAGCAGGTATAAAAAATTTTAAAAAATCTGGGAAAAGTTGATTCTCCAGAATTTTACCATTTATTATCCTGATCCTCTATTTTAAAATGTCTGACAGATGAAACTTCTTGAAGAAGAAGAGAAAGAAAAGCGAGAAGAAGAAGAGCGAAAGGAACGGAGGAGAACAAAAGAAAGAGAGAAAAAGCTGCGGAGAAAGGAGAGATTAAGAGAAAAGGAAAAGGATAGAGAGAAGAAATATTCTGAATCAACTAAACATTCTCAGGGTCCTGAAATTTCAGAGCATGAATTAACAACTATTGCTGATGGGGAATCAAATAATATCTGTAATGGTGACTTTGTCAGTGAAACAGGGGAAGCTATTCCATCTGGGTCTCTATCTCCAGATATTCAAGATGAGCAGCTTTTGGATGAGTTCATTTACTCAGATTTGCAAAATCAGTCTGATAGTCCTGATGGAGACTTTGCTAATACAAATGATGGCATGAGTCACTTCCCGATTGATCACTTGAAATATTCTCGTCGAAAGCTGAAGTTTCGCAAAGATTTTCAACAGGATACATACTCAAAATGGTATGACAGGCGGAGATATGCGATTGGTTCAGAGAATGGGAGTATGGTTAACAAATATGAAGCAAGACATCACAGTGATAATTTTGAAAGTGTGAGGAGCATTAATGGGCCAGCTAAGCAACTAAGAAATTTTGTTGTGAAGTCCAATATCAGAAATGTTGGACCCAAGTATAGTGAGAAGGCTGCTTGTTCCAGTAACAGGATCCATGACAGGTATGAATCTCATGCATGCAGCTGCAATCAATACAGTGATTTTCGATTAAAGGTGGAGCCACACATGTCAAGAATGGTCAGGGAAAATAAGTCTGTCTTTAAGTCAGAATCTGTATCAGATATGTCTAAGCCCTACTACCGTATAAACCACAATGAATACATGCGTGAAAACTGTGGAAGATCCAAGAACAAAACTATCAATGGGAGCAATGTTTACAACCGAGATTCAAGTGTTACCAAGAAAGTTTGGGAGCCAATGGAATCACAGAAGTACCCGCGAAGTAACTCAGACTCTGATGTTACCTTGAGATGTTCTACTTTTAAAGGTGAAACTACTGAATCTGATCAAGCTCCTGAATCTTCTATTGCTAGCAGTTCTGACAATTTAATGGGGATCACTATTCAAATCAAGCATGAGGACAAGGATTTACATGCAGTAATAAAATCTGAGCCTGAAGCAGAGAGAAATGGTGAAAATGGGTTTCATCCAAAAGAAAAATCCCAGCAATACAAGGAAGCAACGGATGAGGATGGTGAACTGTGTCCTATGTCAAGATCTTTACAGGCAACATTAGATTCATCACTGAGCAGCTCTTCGAATTCTGATAACTGCTCATCCTGCCTTAGTGAGGGAGACAGCAACATATCATCTTCAAATCCTCAAACCACTGAATCTTCATCTTCATCAGATTCAGATGATGCTAGTCAAAACTCAGAAGGAAGAGAAACATCCGTCTGCTTTCAAAGTGGCATCACTGTATGTCAAGATGCTGGGATGGTAAAAGGGGAGAATACATGTGGAGTGGAGCATGTCAAAGGCGAGGTTGTCAATGATGCAGCCACAAACACCTGGGGTACTTTGTCTTCCAAAGCTAATAGTGAAAATGGAAGAGCAAACATGAGCATTAATGCTCAGCCTCAAGTTGTGCTCCCACAATTGCACAACCAGAGCATGCAGTTTCCAATTTTTCAATCTCCGCCAATGGGGTACTACCATCAAAGTCCACTTTCTTGGCCAGCTGCTCCTACTAATGGGTTTATGGCGTTTCCCTCTCCCAATCATTATTTATTTGCTAGTCCGTTTGGGTATGGTTTGAATGGGAATAGCCATCTTATGCAGTATGGCACTTTACAGCACCCTACTCCCCAAATGCTTAACCGCAGTCATGTGCCTGTTTTCCAGTCTGTTGCTCAAAGCAATGGCATTAATGGAAAGGATCATATGAAGATCTCAAATGTAGGTGGTACAATAGAAACCCATGCTGGAGCTAATGTACAGAGGGTGGTCTCTAATGGGCTGCAGCCAAGGGAAACACCTGCTACAGCCAAAAAGGGGATGAATTTGAAGACTGAAGGATCTGATGTCAGAAATACAGGCTTCTCCCTTTTTCATTTTGGTGGCCCTGTAGATGTTCCGCCTGGTTTGAAGTCCGAACCTGCATCCTTGAAGGAAGAAATTGGCACAGATTTATCTTCAAAATTATCTGCTGATCACAGTGAAGGTGATCAAACTTGCAATAAGAAAAGTTCTATTGAAGAATATAACTTGTTTGCAGCAAGTAATGGGATAAAGTTTTCATTCTTCTGATATATAGAGTTACAAGTGTGAGGAGGCTGTTTGAGATTCAGTCCCTACTTTGAGTGATGGAAGCTAGTCATTACCATACAATAATCCTCCTCTGAAAATTTTAGCATCTTTTTATGGTTTAGTTGATTGAATTATTTTGTTTGTTTTTCTTAGAGTTCCTTGTGTAGAAAGAGAGTTTGAGAATGTTGCAGAATGGTTTAAGGTTTTCTGTATGAGATCAACTTTTTGAAGTTAATGGAGCTTTTCCCGGGATAGTGTCCCTTCTTGCAATTTCTATAGAAGAACTGCGATTAGTTATTCAGTGTGCGTTTTGTTTGAAATCTGAGCCAAGCATTTGAACCAGCATTCCATATCTATTCTGGGAAATTTAACTGCAGAAACACTTTTACACTGCGTGTATTTAACTTCTGTGTACCTTCCTTTTGCTGTAAGCAACCATGGCCGTTGGGAGTGATTGGAACCAATTTTGCACCTCCATTGAAAACCATTAAGGCAAATAATCATTTTCAGTAGCACCAACTCTTCTGCATCTTTCTTCTAAACAAGCTTTTCACATTTCTTATTGGTTGTTTAAGCCATTTGAAATATCAAATTCTTTGCTTTATCGTTTGCTTAAATAAACAGGCCGTCTAATTTTGTACTTATTGAACTGATAAGTTCAAATTCAATTCAATCTCGACCCGTTTCACAGAAAGTTCGAACTTGTGCTCGAGTTCTAATATGAATTTTGTTTAAAAAATTATTTAGTTTAGTTCTGATTAAAAAGAAACGTTTAAATATTGATGAACATGAAGCAGAAATAAAAGGAGGGAACAATATGAAGCAAGTTAAGTCAAACATGGTTGCTTACTACTAAGATAAAGATGAAAATGATGTGTGCAACTCTAAACGTCATTTATATAATTTTTGTTTTCACGATCGCAACCAAAGTACGTGAACAAAGTTCATGTTCATTCATTCATTATTAATCAATCTTGATTTGGAGTTTGAACTTGATTTGCTTAATCAAATGTCATGCTCTTAGATTAAACAAGTCGACTCTAAACAAGTCAAGTCGAGCTTTGTTCGTGAACAACTCGATTTGTTAACAGCTCTATTTGGAACTAAAAATTGTTGGCATGCAAAGCTAAGAAAATGCGAGGCCAATGTCTCAGCAGATCCAGTGCTTCAAGATTATCATTGGTCAAATTGCAGGCATCGGAGATGGTAGTAGCTCAAGGAGAGGTGCACAAAATGGTTTGAGGTCCAATCCAAGTTATTGATTGATGAAGCTCCAATTGTCATCGAATTCAAGGTCTAAAATTGTCGATAAACTACAAAATCCAAAACGTACCACAAAAAAAACGCGAAGAAAAACAACCGTCACTCTTTAACTATTTGAACAATAAAGAGTACCGAGGAACTCAGGCACAACCATTGATACACTACAAAACCTTTTTGAATTGAGCACATGTAAAAACTATCTAACAAGGTTCTCTGTCTGGAATTTCAGGACTGCAAGGTAAAATCCAGGTTCATCCACAAACTTCACCAGTTCAAATGTATTATCAGCAGCAACATCTTGCAAAGTCGTCTTGTCTGGCAACTCTGCGGCTACTACATCAGGATATTGTTTTTGCTGCTCTTGAACCATTTGCCTCCCTTGCACATGACTTATCACAACCCTTGCACCTGATAATGCACGGGAGAAATATCATAAAAACATTGAACAAAGCAATTTTTCATACTAAAGTTTAATCCAGGAAGTTCATCTCAACCCACAATGACACAATCCCAAGTATTTTAGTAATTTTTCAAAAGCACCAAACCAGAAACGACTACTACAGTTCATTATAGAATCTCATTAGTTTTCAAAGTAAAATACATGGAAGAACAAAAGATATACTTGGGCCTCAATTTAGTAAAATTCATTGTTGCATCGGGTGCAGCAATGTAAGGTTAGGTTATAATTTATGCAGTCAGTGACAGATCACTAAGGCTTTTGCACGAGAGATGCAAAGCCAACATGAAATACAGCATGTGAAGTCTTAAAAAGAGGGCAGATGTGATAAAGATTACCTGGCAAACAATGCTTGGCAAGTGTTCCCAGAATCTGGCCAAGTTGAAATGGCAAAGCAGGAAGGAAATATAAAAACACAACATCAAAAGGTGCCCACTTCTCTGGTAAATAAATTAATTCGCCTTGCCAACACTTCACTTTGTCATACTTTTCTTTGATGCTTGCTAATATAAACAACGAGTCATGAACAACAAGCAATTGCTCACAAGGTGAAGAATTAAAAACTTTATCAACAAACTCTTCAGAACCAATTGAAATTAGAACCCTTGAAGTTTCTCCAACCTCCCCTGCAGAAATGATCTGATCTTGCTTCTGGTTGTGCTGTTCCTTAGAATTTTTATCATCGTGCTCAAGAAATGACCAATCCTTCTCCATTAAATCTTCAAAATTAATCACAGAAACTGTTCCTTCATTTGCAGGACTTGTACCCCCAAGAGTCGACTGAAACTTGAGCTTGGGATTAGGCGAAATGGTTGGGAATTTACACAAAACTGAAGACTGTCGACCACCAAGGAAATGGCACAGCTTAAAGCAACAACAGAGGGACTGTAGATGTAGATTACTTCCTAATTTATGATATAGTGGTGCAACTCGGAGGTGAGAGGTCGGTGAGAAGATAGAACTCATGATATCACAGTTTATAGGTGCAAAGGAGGATCTTCAGTTTCAAGTATGGGAGAGGTAAAAAATCCGTCACTTCTTTAGCATTGTCACAGTAACTGGTGGAGACAAAATGCTAACATTACCGTAGCATTTCCGTCCGCATGCCAGAAAATTTGTTCAGTTTTATCTCTCTCTGCCAATCTGATTAAAACAAGCCACATGATCAGGAAAGGAGATCCAGCTTTACATTGAACAATTCCATCATATGCATGACTTGATAATGTTCCAAAAGGGAACTGTACTCATCAAATACTCCTTAGAATTACTGGACACTAGGCAGATCCTCTATTGCTCCTCTCCCTCTTTTCTCCTTTTCTGCCATTTTCCTCCATCCCCTACTGATTTCTTATTAAGTAAACACATATAAGAAGGGTTGCAACTTGCAAATGCTTATAGCATGACAATCAAGATATCAGGGCTGAACTGTTTGCAAATTTGAAATCCTAATACAACTTCCGAGTCATTGACTCTCGAAATTAATGGTTTCCAATTCATCAGAAGCGGAAGTGGACCAACTATTCTCGAGAATTCTCATAGTTGAAAGTATCTTTTATAAATTTGCGATCGCTTTCCAAATGATGCACTCCACTTTCTATGGTTCCTAAAAACAGTAACTTTCTACTTGACGAAAAACAGCAGTAGATAGGAAATGGAATGATTGGAAAAGCATATGCATCTCACGCACTACTTCTTTTAAGTAGAGACAACAAAAAACCTATAACCCTGGTGTTGTGAAAACTTTTATAAGTGAACAAAATATGTCAAATTGCAATGAACAACAGACTGCCATCAAATTTCAGCTTGGCCTGATAAGACACACCTCAACTCAAGCTCAACTCTAACATGGAGTGAAATAGTGCTAGGAACAGTCTAGTACAAAATGATATCCCTGACAAATCCAGAAAAAGAAAGAAGCAAAGTACTGATGCAGACAAGTATAAGACAACATTCTAAATTGGCGAGGAAAGGAAACAAATCAACTTGTAAAACAACTAAGGAAGTCGAAGGATATTTTTTCTATTGCAACATCTAACATGCTTGGATGCTTAGACGGGTGTTAAAATAAAGCATTGTTTCTTTGCATAAATCATAGTTGCTTTAAAATACTTTCCACCCCTGCCCCTACCCACTTCCCATTTGAGACCCTGCCCTTTCTCTTTCAGTTTTTGCGGCAAACTAATTAAAAAAAAAAAGAAAAGAACCCTTCAGGTAATTCAATGAATCAAGAAATTCAAACTCAAGCCATGAATACTCCCAAGGATGGTTCAAGCAAATAAAAGAAGGTTGAACACATCTTATACTAGTTTAAAAATTAAGAACAGCTCAACGAGCTAACAAATGAAAATTCTAATGCCATTTGATTTGACCCAATCTCCGGCTTGGCTTGCCAAGTAAACCAATGTAGCCAAGCTCTTACCTAGTACCCAGCAAAGTTTGTCAAGAAACTAATCAATCATACTCAACTTCCGTAGTTTTTCAGCTTTGCACCATCCCTTGACAGTAAATTCACCAATTTAGTTACCTAGTACCCAGTAAAGTTTGTCAACAAACTAATCAATCATACTCAAATTCCGTAGTTTTTCAGCTTTGCTCCAGCCCTTGACAGTAAATTCACAAATTCAGTTTTAGCAGATTGCAACTGTTGATATAAATTTATCTCTTTTCCTACTCTATTTCAATTAAGCAGCCGAAAAGACAGCTGACCTTTAATTTATCTCAGTGAACGAGAGATGGACTACAATTACTGGTTTCCACAGCCTCAAAATTCAATCTTTTTAGTAAGCAAGCACAGCCAAGAGAGGAAACCCAAGAGGGCTTATTTCAGTTACTCCATAGACCCATACAAATTTTGCTGAACGTTTATCACATGTCTAATTGCACATATCACCAAAATAGTGTTCTTCACCTTACATGCATATCCAGATAAGTAAAAAAGACACTATACAAGTACAGAAGAAGAGGTCAGAGCAAAAATATACCTTGAACGGCAATTAGATAAGGGGCTGCGCGCGGGGACTTTGAACTGGGGGAGAAGGGGGGTTTGGGACGGAGGTTTATCACTTTATCTTGTTGCAGCGGAAAATTGAAAATGGCTTGGGAGAAGAAAAGTGTTGGTGCAGGATTTTAACGAGGGAATGGAGAGGGCCTAATTCAGAGCAGGGGCAATCATAAAATTCTTAATTGCCCAAAGCCCATATTAGTCCTAAGCAAATTTTGCTTCAGCAATTATTAGGAGCATCATTAAAACAGTCTGTTCCTTTTCTAGACATCCCTTTGAAAAGCTCCTGATCGTATGCCTAGCCTCTTGCTCAGTTGAATTGAACGTTCAGGACAAAAAAGTTACCATTGCTGCGTATTTGAGTCAAAATCCAGAAAAAACAAGTTGGCGCGGCTTGCCAAGGCAAGGATATGCTTATATCTAGTAAATGTAAAGCCTTTTTTGTTTACGATAAAATACAAAAAAAATTCTTTGTGATTTATTAAATGTTTAATTTAACTTCCTCTAATTTGAAAACTTACACTATAACTCTCCGTGATTTTAACTAATTTAAAAATTGGACTAAAAGTGTCCAATCTAACGATTATACGTGAAATGTCAATATGACCCCTATATAAATGAACTCTCTATGATTTGTCGAATATTTATTTAACTCCCTTTAATTTAAAAAATTATACTATAAATTTCTGTGATTTCGACTAAATTAAAAATTGAATAGAAAGCATCTTACATATAACAGGGGCAATATTTACATTTCACACACAATCGTTGGATTGGATCTTTCAATTTAGTCAACATCGCAGAGAGTTATAGTATAGGTTTCTAAATCAGAGGGAGTTAAATTGAATATTTATCAAATCACGTGGAGCTTTTTTTGGTATTTTACCCTTTTGTTTACAAGAATTTTCTTGGTCACCTTTTCTCTGGCAACGGATTGGGGTAGTTATGAATGCAACCCTATGTTATTTGCTATTTGCGGGAATTTTCAGTTTTTGGCAATTAATCTTTGGCCAAAATAAAAAGATTGGCTCGTCTCAAGTGTGCCTTCTTACCCTGTACTCAAGTGGTGCTAGCACTTGACAATATTCTATTTTCAAAAATTCATTTTTTTTTCACAACTAAGAAATATATAATTGTGACTACATAAAATTCGCACGTTAACAGCTACATTCAAAATATCTTATAATAGTAATTAAATCTAGAGCAAGTTAAATTCAGAATCCCTTGCAGATGTAATTAAATCTAGAAAGAATTAAATCCAAAATTCTTTACAATTGTAATTAAATCTAATGGGTGCAATCTGAAAGTTTTTCCTTTTTATCTTTAGCTCCCTTGACTTAAATCTGAAAGTTTCTTCTACTATATATATAATAATATATTAGCACGCGAATAGGGTGGTGTTGCTAATTGACCAAAAAAAAAAAAAAAAAAAAAAAAAAGAGAGAACTTGCTCGGGATTGGAATCGTGAGTTGGCCCAAACTAGACTTAACATCATCAAAAGAAACAAAATAAAGGCCCAATTAAGTTTTACATTAGGAGAAAAAAATAAACGACGTCGTTGGCTGTTCCCACCTTGCTTCTTCCTCCTCCGGTTCACACACACTCAAATAGAGGACAGGTACCCCTCCCGCCTCCTTACGGCGGCGTTTCGCTCTTCTTCCCGCCTCTTTTTTTATTTCTCTTTTTCACTCACTCATGAACGGAAGAAGCAAGGGCCAATTTCTTCTGTGCAATTTCCAACAAATCAGAACAATAGTCAAAGTCCGGCTGAAATGGGTGAAGAACCGCTCCTTAGACCACATAATCGACGTCCAAACAGACCTTAAAGCCGCCTGCCTTCTCAAGGACGCTATAGCACGCTCCTCCACAGGCTATTTGACCTCCAAATCACTGGAAAATACCCAGAAGCTATTGGGCATCACTGTCCCGACGCTGCGTTTCATTCGCAGATTCCCGACTTTATTCCATGAGTTCCCTCACCCCAAATGGCCTTCTTTGGCCTGTTTTGAGCTGACCCATGTTGCCAAATTGCTTCGTCAGCAAGAAATGAAGGTCTTTGATGAATGCCAGACTGATTTAGTTGAAAGGCTTTGCCGCCTCCTTATGATGTCCAAGTCCCAAATGGTATGCTCATTTTGCTTTCACTTTTACTTACTGAAATTTTGTGTGGTTTTTTTTTTTTTTTTGTTGGTTTATGTCTTGTTTTAGTTGGGTAAATATGCTTTATGCTTTATGCTTTTGCCGTTTTTAATTTAATTAGACATCAAGCTTGCTGCTATTTCTGTAAGTAATTTTGCTTATGTATAAAGTAATTGTGGGGCTTGTCGTTTGGGAAATCAATTTTACTAAAGTTGTTATCGTTATTGGGTAATTGAGGTTGTTTATGACATTTTTTTAAAAAAATTAATCAGGTATCAAGATTGAATAAAAATGTGATTTGTATTTCTTAATACTACTTTTTTGTTCTTTTTATTGCTTTTTATTCTTCTGTTAATTAAGTTGGGCATCAAACGGATAAATATTTGATTTTTAAATTTGCAGACGTTGGACTATCTTTGATGAAGGAGAAACATATGAACCAAAAAATTTGACCGTTCTTGTGCAATTTGGTTGATATGCTTTTGTTCGTCTGCCAATGCCAAGGAGTTGATGTGAATAGTTTGGAGGTCTATTTGTGTTGAGATGTGTCTTCCTGTATAAAGATTTGTTGACGGTCAGCTGTTACTGTTTGAAGAGTTGATGAATTATTTCTCGTGCTACCTTTATGGATTTTGTCCTAAGAATCAACAATGATGTGAAGTGGTGTCAATGGTGATATTTGTCTTCGCTTTTGCATCCTATGCATATATATATATCATGGAATTCTGTGAGCTAGAATAGACAAGAGATCTGCCCTTTTTTAGCTGATTTGATCTTGTGTCAATACTTATAGAGGACAACACATGAATAAATATGATCACTTTTCTTGTATTTGTTGAATGCTAGCATGATGCGGTGATGTTGCACCATCAAATTAATGTGTAAGTTTGGATGCTTTATATCTTCATGGATTATGGGTTTTGTTTGTTATATATGCAGATACCTCTGCAATCAATACATCCGTTGAAATGGGATTTTGGTTTGCCAGATGATTTTGACAAGAATTTAGTCAAAAGGTTCCCAGATCATTTGCAGATTGTTAAAGGAACAAGTGGATTGGCTTGTTTGAAGCTTGTTCAGTGGCGAGAAGAATTTGCTGTATCTGAGCTGCAAAAGAGCAATGAGAAGAGAGGATTAGAAAGTGATAATGGTGCTGATGGAAGAAGTGCTTATAAGTATCGGGAATTCAAGAGGGGAAAATCAGCTTTAGAGTTCCCAATGAGTTTTCCCAGAGGCTATGGGGCTCAAAAGAAGGTGAAGGCATGGATGGAGGAATTTCAAAAGCTTCCCTACATCTCTCCCTATGAGGATTCCAGGAGGATTGACCCAAATAGTGAACTTATGGAGAAGAGAGTTGTTGGTGTGCTCCATGAATTTTTGAGCTTGACTATTTACAAGAAGACAAAGAGGAATTACTTGAGGTCCTTGAGAGAGGAGTTAATTCTTCCCCACAGGTTTACTCGACTATTTACCAGGTACCCAGGGATATTTTACTTATCACTAAAATGTAAGACAACTACTGTTGCACTGAGAGAGGGGTACCGCAGGGGAAGACTAGTGGAGCGACATCCTGTTGCTCGACACAGGGATAAGTTTCATCATGTAATGAGAACTGGGTTGGTATACCGATGTAAAGGGATTGAAGTTCTACCTCTGCTGGACAGTTTGATTGATGAAGCCGAAGAGGACAAAGTTGAAGGTCAAAGCGACGAAGAAGAGATTGAAACAAGTGATGAATGCTATGAAGCTGGTACTTCGGAGGTGGAGAGTGCGTCTGATGAGGATTAGCACTGAGTTGTCTGAATGACCCCTTTTTATTTTTTTGGGTTGGACTAAGAGATATTTAGCTCTATAGGTAGAGAGGTCCTACTGTATAACATTCTAGATCTGTGTATTTTAGCATTCTTGCTTGATGCATGGTCTGGTATAGAAGTGTTACAGATGGCTTCATTGCTCATTCAAAGCGAGAATAGTATTTATGTTGTAGGATTTTTGTAATTGGTTTACAGATATGTTTGCCAAGAGATTCAACATTGCCATTTAGTAGAGAACCAGCAACTAGGATGGAGTAATGGCTTGGCTTACTTGAACTAAAGAAAAACAGGGAAAGGAGTTGTTTTGAGATTTTCGTCATGTGTTGATTTTCCCGGGATTCCCAGACAGTTTCATCCTTTCCTTGAGGAGCTCAAAGAGTATGCTGCAGTCTCCCAATTACATGAAGTACATGTCACTTGCAATGGAGATTTCTTGTGAAAATACATTTATTTCTGTGTATTCATGGTGCCTTGCATTAAGAGCCAGGAAAGCTGTCTCTCTCTTTCTGTATCTTATCAAAACTCCAGGTTCTCGCCAGTTGTGGATGTCATAGATTGGATGGTATCAACCTGGCAGTTTATTTTTCTTTCACTCTGACAAAAAGAAAGAAACGCACTGGTTTGACAAAACGTTCTCCAGCATAATTGTTCAATAGTGTTGGGAAAATGGACAAATAGTTGCACCCAGTATTACCAAAGGTGCATCTGCATCTATCTTATGTTAAATAACTTTGCACCCAATATTGAAGTCCTTTTAGAACTAGAAGTGGTAAGGACTAACTAAGAAGTGCTATAGTTGTACATATTTTAATAGCCACATAAAATTAGACATACTCTAATAAGAAATTGCAAGAAAATGAATGGTAAAGCCTCTTTAATGCAATTGTATGTAATTGTCTTGTTCATCTTTTCTACTAACAAAACAAAAAAATACAATTTGCGAGTTATAACCACGCTTTCACTTTTATCAGCGTATTATAAAAATAAGAAAAAACCTTTTCATGGATATAGAAGCCATCATCCTTCACAAACCCAAGTGCATTTGTTGAGCCTGTATATAATTTTGCCACAAAATTCACGAGCCAAATCCAAGTTAAAAATTATAAAATTTTTGTGTCTTTTATCCTATTGAAAATGACAGACGTATGAAGTTGTTTCAAAATAATCTAGACGAAATTTCCTATGGAAATCATCGTTGAAACGAAGAGTGTGACATCCAAGCTCCTTATCGTTGGATTGGCAAACACATTACATTACTAATGGAATGGAATTGTTTGGAAGGTTATTGGCTACACGAACATAATACCCCTCGAACGAAGGTTGACATAATAGGAATTCATTCATAGTATATGAAACTTAGAAACAACATGAATATTTTTGTC